TATGAGTAGGCTCCCATGTAGGCTGTTACCACTCCTTCCGATATCTGGGACAAAACTAATCTAGGGTCCCAGGTAGGAGTGCCCCCAACCTCTGTCCATCACCCCAGTGACTGGAAACTGGGAGCAGTAAGGACTCCCTAGCTTCACTAGTAGAATATGGGGGGGGGGGGGTAATACATGTTGGAGAGTCCTGAGAAACAATGCTCTGGAAACAATAGGTGAACCAAGTTCCATAAATTTTTAAAAGCAAATTGACCCCAATTTATGCAATCTACTGATCAACAGGGACGAGCAGGATTCCCCTTATGCTTTATTCATGATAGTCCATGAGTGGCAGTCTAGCATAATACAGTAATACCACCCAGTCTGCCTCTAAGTGATCTTATGGAACACTATTGCAATCTAGATAAAGTATATTGTGTTAGTGTTTGCTAGTGTACATTTGGTTTCATAAAAGTACACCTGACTGAGCAACACTCATCACAGAGCAGGATCCTGTGAAAAAAAGGGACCCTTGAAAGGAAAGAAGAGATGAGATTGGTAATGAAAATACTCACCCCTTCTGTATAATCTAGCAAATACCGACATGGGGTAGTCAAAAAACCTCAAAGGAAGATACTGCCAGAACATGCAAATAATGTAAGATAATAGCCCTGACAAAGTCTTCCAGCACGCAATTCAACTGGGCCACTAAGAAATGTGACAAATCTCATGAGACGTGACTCGCCTCCAAATAGAGCCCAGAATAAACAATATTGATCAATTTTAATATCCACACTCTCAAGGTAACCAGGGATAAATCCTAGGAAACTAAAGGGTCACAATGAATAAAAAACCATTGTCCAGCACCTCTAAAAGCTTTAGTGCAGGTCACAGAACACTTCAAGGCCCTCACCAGACATGACAAACAATCAGGATTTGATCAATCATAGGGGTGAGAAATAGCAGTCAGATGAATCGGTGAAAAGGATATATCCCCTTCCCTGGTTGCCAGTGTGTGAGGTAAGAAGGATCTGTCTGGATATAGGATGTTGATAGAATGATAAAGCATCTTGTTCACGTGCAGCTCAGATAACTCCGACTGGCAATGCTTGCAGGCCGGCAGCAACAAAAAATAAATCTTTAGGGAAAGATGATAAATATCTCAGCACTGTAGTTAGGGTCAATGAATCCTGGAAAATGTGATCTATTCAGGTTGACCACAGACTCTGTTCTGGAACCCCACATTTCCAGGAGCAGGTCTATTCTCTGAGAGTCTAAATATGCTTCCATCTGGCTGTGGTAGGTGAAAGCATGTTGTTGTGACAAATATGGCAGGCCAGCCATAGCTATCCCTTCACATAACTGAGCAGTAAGCCTCCCTGCATGAACCACAATATCAAGGGATAGAGGGAGAACTAAGTACTCACCCTCAGACCTTTCCTCAATCAAGGAAAGTGCAGACTCAAAAGCAACTGGGGAAAGACCCAAAACATCAGGTACTCAATGTAACAATGGAAGAAAAGGAGCTGGAGACAGCTGATCCAAATTGGACTAATGAGAAGCCGGCAAAGTAAAGGAAGGTGCTCGAAAAATCAAATTTAAATTCTCTAATTTTCTCCAGAATGTCTAGGGTCACCTACAAGTGCAGCCTCAGAGCCACACAGAGAAACACAACTGGACCATATGTACATCTCCATCTCAAAGGTCAAGGACAGCCTCAAATTGGCTTGGCAAACAACTTTTTTTAAGAAAATCAAATAGGTAATACAAAGAACACTCAAAGTACCTCCAACGGTTGTACTACATAGAAACCCATTAGTGAATGCTTTATCAAGAAAAAGTGACAATATTATCTGAAGAAGGTGCCTATATACAATACCAAGATACAGGGCACTGACGTAGGTGGAGAGTGTCAGGAAACAGATATTGTCAAGGGCAATTAAGTGGGAAATAAAAGACTGGAACAAGCGAGAAAAAATCAGACCAATGCTTAGATGGGCAAAGGGAAAGAAACCCTAACAGTTGAGTGATACCTGTAGTGTGAGAGGAGGTAAGTATGTTTTGGAAATGAGAGTATCACTAGGATAAAAATATAGCCAAACACACTGCTTTTACACTACTTAAAATGGTTATCTTAAATTGAAGTTGAATACAATTTATGTGACATCACTTATATATTTATTACCTTATTACCTTATAAATTTACATGCAATTAAATTTCAGGTCAATATTCCTTGAAATGTAGGCAACTTCATAAAATTACAGCTAACCATTGATACACAGTATTATATGTTAATTTGAATTTTTCTTCACTGTATTTATGACATAATAATCCGATACAGTACAAATTAAAATATTCAACAAATTCTGGTTACTTGTCTGGCCATGGAAGTGATGTGAACTGATCCCACCAGCGGCTAACAACGATAGATACATAGAAACCCAGGACGAAAGACAGTGGAATGAGATTTGTGAAGGCTTCACAGTAGAGAGCTAGTTTCTCAAAAACACTGGAAGAAACAAATTATATCAACAACAGCATTTTGTCTCCTGATAAGCAACTTACAAGCATGCAGAACAAGCAAGTAAAATGCTACAGACTTTTCAATTTGGAAAAAATTTGGTTATCAAATCTGTTTCAGAATGACAGATTAATTTTCACAAAATAATATTATTTAATTATAAATATAACTGTACTCTTACAGTCCAAATCATGTACCACCATTTTATTTTATCATTTCACATAAACTACAGTGTGCAAATGATATGAATGATACTTTATATATATATATATACAAACTGTATTTTGGTTTTTAACTTCGTTATTCTGGCTTTTAGAGAAACTGTGCATGGTGGGTTAAGCCAGTTTGCTTACTTGCATTTATATAATAACATATTCAAGTATCTCAAAATATTTGTGGGTATTTTCATGCCACAGTGATAGAGTAATCACTAGTAGAGATATATGGCTAATATTTCTTAAAACAAAAACAAAATCACAGCCAATAATCTTCATATCTTAGAATGGTAGACAAGGCACAAGTTTGATGTATGTTTGTAAATAAAGAATTTTACAAGATTGTTTCCTTGACCATTTATCAAAGATTACAAAATATCTTTTTTACATCTTCTTTATCACTGAACAACTCTTAATTACTACTATTTCTACATATTAAATGTAAACAATCCTATTATATTTACTTTTATGTAGCTGAATCCTTATTCATCAATATATCAAATAATCAAATTTACTATATCTGTACTAGATAATTATGAAACTATAGCATCTATTTTGAGTTAACTTGGCTTTGGAGTATTTATAATTCTAATACGTAACACCATATAAATAACATTGGGTTCTTCATATATTTGTTAAAAGGTCATTTCTGTAGCAATAGCTATAAGATTCTAAAAACTTTTAGCGTTTATACAGAATTATTGATGAACATGGTTTAGTTACTTTAAAAAATTTAAATTCTCACTTAGTTTTGAAATATTCTCAACAGTATAATCAAATTAGAAGAAAAATTTATACCTTTAAGAATTCAGAAACAAAAAAATATGTGAAACTAAAAGGATGAACAATTAAAAAGCTACATTGAAAAAATCCTAATCAAAAGCTAAGTACAAATTAAAAACTTTTTAAAGGATATATAATGCATAACTATACCATATATAAAAAATAATTAAGGAAGAAATCCATTACTTACGTTCTCTGACTTTCTTTTAAAACATAGCGGTAAAGTGCACTAAGGCTATAGTACAATCCACAGAAAATGGCCATTTCTCTGTAAAGCAATTTGTATATACTTCCTCTCCATCGGAACAAAAGTTTAGCAAAGCCTAACAGTCGGGCTTTCGAAACATTCAATGAGTAAGTTACTGTCATTTTAAAGAATGTTTCCTAGTGTAGTAACAGAGTTAGTGTCTATAATAACTATAAAGTAAATGTAACTAAATTATATCAACATTGGTTTTCACAGAAGAGAAATTCATGCACACTGACAGTAGGAAGCCAGAACCTTCTCTTAACTGACATGCTTTAGGTGTCTAGCTCCACATAGCGTAGAAGGAAAAAACTGCTGGAATCCATGAGGTGGACACAGTTACAGAAATAATCGTATTCTCCCATCATGTGATGACAACAAAACAGCAAACACAGGATACTTTAGTAAAGGTCAGGATGTGAAAAGCTTCCTTTGTTGAATTCTGTGAACAGTTCATTTACATGAAAAAACCTGAAAACCATAAGTAACACAAACTATTCCATACACCAACAAATAAATCTGACCTTATACATCCGTTAAAAAATTACTCGGTTACTAGAAAATCATGAGAATAGACATGTTATTTACAACAAGAAGGTTGCATAAATTGTCAGAAATGTCTTTTACGACAGGCCATCTTATGAATATACAATTAGTATCAGTTTTATCTAACTGTTTAAAGATATTCCTATTCTATCCATATATAACACCAGAATGCAGCATTCTTTATAACAATCTGAACTGAGAGTAAGGACACAAACAGAAAATTCTAAGTTTAAAAGTAAGTATATATATATTATAAGGATATCTTTCAATTTGTAACAAGTTCAAGATTTAGGTTATCAAAATCTAAATACAGTAGTATAAAGACCTCAACATAAAATATAAGTCATTATTTAGGTTTTATATCCAAAATTTAAAGAAAAAATATTATTTTAGAAAAGAAAGAACTCAAGTGCATATAATTCTCTCCATTGATTGATATAAATTAATTTCAGCAATATAGCAGTAAAAGCAATTATACCTATTATATGGTTAAATAACAAAAGCAAAATATTTAGCCTTTACATGTTTCATTTTGTTCTTACATAATATCAGTATTTGTACAGTTTTAAAAGCTACACTTTGCTATATTATGTCTAAACATTTTCCAGAAAAACATGCTTGAGGAATTAAAAATTAAACATATATATGAACACTGTTGCTTCTGAAATCTCGATTCATGAGCAGCATGATCTTATTTGAGAACATGTAGGCTGACAAATTATGAATTTCAAACCAGAAAATAAAAATAATCAAAGCTCAAAACAGAATTGCATGTGCCAGATTAAAACCTATACTAGTAACAACTAGCAGAAATACCCTCCCTACAAAGGGCAGGTATAACTGCTAGTTCCTGTGGAAGGCTATTGGGCCAGCGGCCTTTTCTGGAATTGTCTGAAAGTTCTACAACAATGTACTCATACTCGATATTCAATAATGTTCACTATCCATGATAAAAAGGATTTTATTGAAAATTATATTAGTTTAAAAATGAGCTATCATCACAGCATTACATCACAGAGTAGATTTTATTGAAGTAGTTCTTTGTAGATGCAGTTATCAATGAAAGTGTCTTGCTTTTCTGTTGCAACACTGGTGAGATTTTCACTAAAGAAAAACAAATGATGTTTTTTAACTTTGTTTTTTGATTGTTTTATATTTGAAACTTCCTCCATTTTTTGTCATTTTTATTGGTTAAATCTGATACTTACTCTTTTTTGTTTGTAATTTTAATTGGTTAAATCTGATACATATCATTTTTGTGGAAATTTCAATTACTTTATTTATTGCTCAGCTATACAAATACTGCCTAGTTATAAAAATATTAACCAGTTATGATTGGTGATGATCAATGCAGTAGTTTCCAAAATCCGAGTTTTGGACACATACATCGCAAGCTCCATTATAACAAGATTTTTTCTTTCATCAAATATTTACTTAAAATCATAATTAGTTCCTAACATAAATAAAACAAATCTTTATCATAACTAATTCTTCTGAAGAATAGATCTACACTGATTTTATAGTTTAATTTTATTAAAACATTTCATTTACTAGAAACACTGGTATCTATATTGTAAGCAAACATAAAACATTCAAATTAACTATGAGAGCTAATAAAAACAATGTTCTTTACATACAGTACTCAAATGCATAGTAGGTTCTGCCAGAAAGATTTTCAAACATAAACTAAGACAACAGCAAAATAAAAAACAAAAGGCTAGGAGATAAGCAGCTTTCTTTTTAATACTTTTTATGAATTCTCAGCCCCCAAACACTCACCTGGGGTGAGATGCCTTGAGTAGGTTATTTTCTGCCAATGCCCCTGACAACATTCTCTATACATGAGGATCTTTTAATTTGAATCCAAGAATTTGGTGAAAAAATAAGAGTAATTTCACAAACTAATAAAACCAATGTTGTAGGGGATACAAAATATACTAACCCCCCTTCCCACTAAAGAAATCATCAAGGATAATTCCCCTAGTTATATAGAACACATTGCCTAGGGGAGCTAAAACAGTATTGTATGATAACAGAAAATACAATTATACGTGAAAACTGGTCTTCATCTACCAAGATCAAAATTGAAGATATCCAACCACAGCTGTCAGTGGAACACAGGTGCACTGATTTTTATATCCAGCAATGGGTTACCTCTAAAGAAGTGGAATCAACTACCATAAATGAAGTCTTTGACTACAAATAGATAAAAAATGCAACTCTAAATGCTTATATGTGCAGTAAGCACAAAGAGGAGCCATCACTACTAGCTCCTCCATGAAAGTTTTTGCAAATATCTTTTAAAGATTCCTGACAAGTCTGAACACATCTCGGTGTTATTTTGATCACAGTTGGTATCTTTTTCTTCTCTAATATACAGTACATACGTAGCAAAATGTTGTACTGGATAGTTATTTTCCACATTTACTAAAAGGACTGACCTAACGAATTAAGCACTGTCCCTCCCAGCTCCAGATTTCCACTTCAACCACTGCATATAAATGCTGATAAATATCCCCACTCATACTTTAACAAACATGTATGAATGTTCCATGTTCATAATTTATGTACTGCACAAAAACTTATTCTATAAATGTTAAAATTTGTATTTATAATCCTGATAAAACATGCAAACTTTGATTAACTCCTACATAAAGCTCAGTAATTGACCTTAATATAACAAACAGATAAAAACTCAATCTGATACAGGTATTAACCTATGTTCATGAAATATTCCACATTTATTCAATTAAAATTAAACAGAAACAATGAATACAAATATTTCTTTACCTTCTCAATCAGTATAATAACCTCACAAAAATAAATTTTACATAAACTTATTACTGAATTCTGCTTTTAGGATATATTTGAAACCTGGGCATGTTATAAACATACTTTTTCACACAATATAATAGCATTCATTAGCAGCAATACTGATGTTATATCATATTTTCTACTCTATGAAGTTGTCAAGGTGTTACTAAAAATTATAGTACATTACATTTTCTCCCAATAATCTATATAACTATAAAAATAGAATGTTGTTAAATATTTTGTAAATATAATTACACATATAATGATATTAAACATACCTTCTAAGTATGTTTAATTGTAATCCTTTTGTAAATATACATAACATTATTATTATTATCCTTTCATAAATCAACTCTATGATAATTTTTTGGGGTTCTTAATAATTTTCTACTCTTGGAGAAAATACAATATTCACACCATCAGTTTGTTATTACAGTAAACTAAAATGCCTGTTTATAATGACAGAAAGTTGTTCTCATAGTGTATCTAAAGTACATAGAGTATGTAAACAGATATTAGAGGATTACTGATATGATAAATTGCTGATATTATATACAGTGCTAACAGTACAAGGATAAAATCCTAACACTAACAGAGTATGAATTTTGTGCTAAAAAGTTTAGTAAGTGTGTTATCTTTCTAATGCTACATCTTTGAATATAAGTTTTGAAAATAAATCTTTTAGATACTTTTTATACTTATCATTTGCTTGGGTTTTCTAAAACCAGTGTTATTGTAAATCTTACAATTTTCAACATTTACTTGACTCTCCACTCAAAAATGAGGACTTAACATTAATAATAATATTCTTCAATTATAAAATGTCTAATTTTTACTACAGTACAGGTTCTACATAATATTATTAGCCATTTTTACTGATGGTTTAAGTTTTATTGTTAAATATTTAAGAAAAAATCCCAATAAATGAAGTTTTCTGGGAAATATTTAGAAATATTCATAGATGTATTAAAAGAATAAATACAAATAGTGCAACTGACATATTAACTAATAATAAAGAAAAACAAAATTTACACATCTCCAACAGGATCGCCTGTGACAGGCTGATAAATGACTGCTTGTACTTCTACATCTTACAATGTGTAAATTGTAATACAAGTCATGAAATATAATCACAACTGTGATTTTATTAAGCCTGAATCTAATAGCTAAGGATTCGTGTGACATGTAATACAATCAACTTACTTAACATAAAATACATACATACATTTTTAAAATCTGTTACAAATCATACCAAAAGCTGCACTGCTAACTCCAAAGTTCAACAATTATTTCTTACTCTTAGGGAATCTACTATTTGTTTTAAATTTAATACTAGGTCACTTTGAAACCGGAGTAACAAGACTTTAGCAAAGATAGCAAAATGATTCCCTTTTCTTCACTTTAGATAACATTAATGAATACTTTTGCAGTTAACCTAGATAATGATTTTTAATGTATATGATTTATAACTTCTATATATAAGGCTGGCAATGTATCATTGTATGGTGGTAAAACACGTTTATTATTTTTTATAATTATTGGTTTAAGAGTTTAAGAAAGAAAATAATAATATACACGTATATAGACGTGTATGTATTTTAAAAAATTATCTGCGATTAAAAAAGAATTCCAACTTACCGAAACTGATAATCTTAAAACGGTTTTAGGAACAGCTGACTGTTTTCTAAATGTTCACTTGGATATTACGGTAAAAAAATGTTGTGCTTGCTTCTCTCACAATGCAGCAGAAACAGTGATGCGACTTGACGTCATTCACTGTAGATAGTGTGCGCACGAGTTCTTTCCCTGAATCTATTCGGTGCGGGTCAAGCACAATGCTTTTCACGGGGTTGCTAAGCGGATATTTTAAAGGTGAGGGAAAATGTGTCACCTAGACTTAGATACCGTTTTTGGAAAGTAATGAATAACAGATTGTTTGAAAATTCGCTTAACTCATCTCAGGTTTTGAAGCTAAACAATAGAACCCACTGAGATGTTAACGTGAATCGTAAAAAATGAATGTACCTGTCTAAGAACAAAAATTACTTCCTGAGTCGGGCTATTTCAAAGCAGATGTGGTAATAAATATATAAATTATCTTTATACCAAATCTCTCTTTTTTGGTCTAACGTAAGGTACATTTCAGATCCAATTAAAGACTGTTGATTAACCTCGAAGTTGATGTTGCTTTGATATTCCTCTAGTAGTAGTTTCGTATGGTGTTTCTCACTCCTCCAAAAGGTGAGTATCCGGGAGTAGGACTTGCGTTCTAGTCCGGACACCGGGTGAGCAATCGGTGTGACGGAGATTCGAACTCGCGACCCGCAGATTGCGACTCGAGTGCCGGGCCTTATTACTCTAGTGAAAACACAGTTTAAACGATTTGGTTTTTAATCCAAAATATAATTATCGAAATTAAATAACTAGATATATCGTAGTCGACGACTATATCTATATGTAGTGCACGTTTCTAATATTGTTACGTCTCCGTTTGTTAATTAATTTTCCGTAACTTCGTTCCGACGAAACTTTAGCGACACAAGTCCTTACTTAATAAAACTGGTTTATTCTTTCTGAATATAACTTTACCGATACACTTATTTTCAACAGTCGCTCTTTTACAAACGTTTTAACAACAAACGTTAACTTCAACAATACTTCCTGACTGCAGTTCAATTAATCACTACCTACACACACATTGTTCCCGTCACGTTGTCACCCTCTTATATATATACCAGACTACCCTATATCTAGTAATCTCCCGACAATTCACGAAGGTACAAGATATTTCCAGAAAGCAGGGAGCGTGACACTAGTCACGTGACTCGCTGACGCAACAATATGTACTACAAGTAAAATAAACCCTGAAAATACACTCTTACTTTCAGTTAATCACTTTTTATGCTACTAATTTTTCAACCTCTTACTGATTAACAGACCATGATGACAAATAGTAATATATGATTTTATCTATATGGTAGAGAATGAATGACGATAAGTTATGTTTGGGAATTTTCAACTAGGTAGCTGAAGAGTGTAGACTGACTGTCTAATTCTAGTTTCTTCAGCCGTCGTCCTCTTGAAAACAGTTTTAGATATTGATATGTGGCTATATATATATAGAAGCTTGTGTATACCTTCTGAGTCTTCGCCAACTTCAGTTCATTATTTATTGTCTTGTTAATGACGTTTTGATTCGAAGGGTCCTCTTTCGTGACCACAGCCTTCACTTTGTGGATGAAAACGCTACTTTTGATTGACTTCTTTGAGTGTGGTTTCATAGCACTTTGTTGTTCTAAGCGCTTTGCTTTGCGAGTTTTCTGTTTCCATGAAGATCATTGAAGACTGTTTCGAAATTTTAGTGTCCTTTGGCCATACTTAGTTTAACAGTCTCGTTGTATCAATATTTCTTTCCAGAAAGACTATTTAAAAATTCTTAAGCTATAACAGTCCATCCAGTGCAAAACTGCACTGTCAGATTTTTGATAATTTGCCCACTGTATGTCATACACACACACATATATATATATATATATATTAAATATGTCGCCCGTGGCGCCACTTCATTAGTATATTCAAGTCGTCCCATAAACCCTCCGTATATCCAATGCATGAATAACTTTGGTGTTCCCACTTTTAGAAGATTACGCTTCTTATTAAATAACCCACATTTCATTTTGTTTAAAATTCAGACCAAATCAAAATTATATAGTTATCTAAACAAACACAGCATCGTCTTTAAATAATAGCATTATTATTACCACTGACAGCAATGCTAATAATCCGTAACTATAGAATGCAATTTGAAAATATATGTATATATCGTGTTTCTAATGCAACAGTCTAATCAAAATGGCAGCCTTTCGAGCTCCATTCAAGCTTCAAAATAACACTAAACAAAATAGTCGTAAAAGACAGCCATTGGTTTAAAACAGACAACATACTGTATATCAAAATAATTATTGATTACGTTTCTGGTTACGAAAACATAAGAACAATGCTAGGAACTATCAGCAGAGTACTGTGGTACTTCAACACAGAGAAAAAATAGTCCCCCGGGGGTAAAGCTGTAAATCTACGGACTTATAACGCTAGAATCCGGAGTTCGATTCTCCTCGGTGGTCATAACAGATAGCCCAATGTGGCTTTGCTCTCAAAAAACAAATAAACTAAAGAAACAGAAAAAGTACAAAGCAGCGATAATCATGCGCTGTACTTCATTATCGAAAGTTAGAACTAAAAACATTTGTCACATATATAGATAATACAAAAATAGAGATATGAAGTAAGAGGTGCATTTTTTAAACTGTAAAGTTTTGATGAGTAGCTTCATTGAGATGAAAAAGTATTCAATAAAATTTTGCAACAGCGAATATTTTTGCATGTTTTTTTTTAGGCTTATTCTGGTACAATATTATGAAAAACGTGGAAAAATTAACATAATACACATAAGTTTACACATGACATTGTTCGGGCTCGGCCTGTTCTGTAAGTCAGAAGGTCCAAGACTCAAGGCACGATATGCCATTAAATACACTCTCAGAATTTTCATCTGTAGCTGAGCTTAAGCTGTGATATTCAATCCCGTTATTTGTTTAGAAATACCCTCAAAGTAGGCGAGTGGTGTTCTTGACCAGTTGCCCTTCCTCTCTCTATAGTCAGTAGATCTAAGTTGACAAAAGTTATATGCGTGAATGAACTTCTGCAATGATCGTTGATTAAAATTTTGGTCATTGATTTCAATTTATCTGATATTATACGTTCTATGTAGTTTTACAATTTGGTCATTGTTTATTAACATAACAACCAATTGTATTAGTAACTGGATGGCTTTGATAGCATTCGTTATTATTGTTGCGTCAGCGAGGTCACGTGACTAGTATCACGCCACCTCTTTCTAGAAATCTCGTGATCCTTCTAGATATAATGTAGTCTTGTATATAAGACCGGCCACGAAGCGACGAGGCAATGAGTAATTGAACTGCAGTCAGAGAGTGGGTAATTGAGTATTGTTGAAGTCGAGCACGTGAGACGTTTGTCATAGCACGACTGTTGAAATTAAGTGTATCGCAAAGTTATATTCAGAAAGAATAAACCAGTTTTATTTAAGAAAGGACTTGTGTCGCTAAAGATTCGTCGGAACGAATTTACGGAAAATTAATTAACGACTGCAGGCGTAACATTATTTTCACCTTTGGTCGTTGATCAGTAGAACATCGAATTGCATTAGCAACTGATTAGTTTGAGTCGCACTGTATATACGTTATTATTTCAAATTTTGTTCGTGGCATGTCACTGGTTTGCGTTATTAACTGATTGATATAGCTTATGAATATTCATCTCAATCTTTATTCAGTGTGGATCAGTAAGTAACATTTTTGTCCTGCTCACTTCTCAGACGTTAGGTTGGATGCCTGTGAGATTTTTATTTTTTGATATAACTCAACATATTTACTGTATACATTTCTGGCATTCATTAAAGACATGTAAACTAGTAAGGAAGTTGGTAAAAAGTTGACACTTTATTCACATACAAACATTGAAAATTTCTTAATGCCACTTAATTCTATCAACTCAGCAAGCTGCCTGTCTTCCTAGATTAATTGAAAAAAAAAATACATAACGTGATATCAGATGGGAAATTTTTTTTTACGCTCCCTTCTAACTCTCAGAAGAAATTCAAAAGATATAATCATCTGATAAAGTGTCTTTAAAAAGAAACCAAGGCAACATCTGAAGGCAACAATCTTTCGACCCACGACCCGGCATGATTACTTGCCTCTTTTGCTCTTCCTAACGTCTGTGCCAAGTCTTTAATTAATGTTAATCTTTCAGTGAATAACCGACTAATCTGTTTGTTAAAAAACAGTATTACATTCACCCTTGTTAATCGGTGTTTAGTAGAAACAAGTTATCGGGGTTAATATTGCTGTTTTTCTTTTACAATTAAAATATTTACATTCACATAACGGTATAGTATGTAAGACTGAGGCCTCATAACGCTGATTATTATAAGCAAGTATGGTATATTAAGTTAGCTATGTTAATTAATGGATTAATTTTAGATGTGATCTATGTAGGTGGTTTTTATTTGATCAAAAGTTAATGATAACAACAAAAATGCCACAGGAAAGATATCAATAAAATCCATTATAAAAATACGTTAACCTACTTTTATTACTAGATTAGCTGGAACTTGTGTGTATAACGAGAAGCAAATGATACTTGAACCGCAGCTACCTTTCCTAAGAATTACTGCTTGTAGTTTATATATATGCCAATAAGATATAGGTCGGGAATTATATATGTGTGTGTCCCTAATTACAACAAACATTGGTTATATATGTGTGTGTCCCTAATTACAACAAACATTGGTATTTTGCCATGTTTTTTGTGTTGCTTTTTTTAAGTCAAAGTACAATCTACTTTAGCTTTATATAGACAACTATACAAAATATTTCTAGGTTTATAATCTGATTAAACAACTGAGTTTGGTGTATATTTGTTAGTAGCCAAAACCGAAACACGAGTATGCACGTTCTCCCAAAACAATCGTGCATAAAAACGAATCAGCTATTCCCTCTCCATACTCTTTGAAACATAACTCAATATCTGCCTGCCTTTGAAACATAACTCAATGTCTGCCTGCCTTTGAAACATAACTCAATATCTGCCTGCCTTTAAACGTGACTCAGTGCCTGCCTTTCGACGCAATAATACTTATAC